AAAAGAAGATCCCAAACCACGGATCACCACCACGAGACCACCCCCACGAAACCACCACCACAAGACCACCACCACGAGACCACCACCACAAGACCACCACCACGAGACCACCACCACGACCACCAACACAACCACCCACACGGACCCCCGCCACGGGACCACCACCACGGACCAACCACCACGGACCACCACGGGACCACCACCACGGGACCACCACCACCGGACCACCACCACGAGCGACCACCACAGGACCACCCCCACGGAACCACCACCACGAGACCACCACCGCGGACCACCGCCACGGACCACCACCACCCGGCCACAACCATGGGACCACCACCACGGGACCACCACGACGGCCACAAGGGACCACCACCACCACCACCATGACAGACCACCACTACCAAAGGAGCACCACCACCACGGGACCACCACCACGCTGTGGGACCACCACGACGAACACCACGGGACCACGGACCACCACCACGGGCATTCGGGAAAACCCCCCAAAACCCCAACCTTTTCAGCCCCAACCCCTCAGCACCCCAAAACCACCCACCCCCCACCACACCCGACAGAACCCAAACCATTACAGCAAAATAAAAGCAAAAAACAAAACCCCCCCAAAACACGACAAAACTCCGGACACAAACCCTATACAATTTCTATTAAGCCCCAAAACCCTACACCGTAAAGCGTAAAACCCTGAACCCGGGGGATCCCGAACATTCCCGGAATTTAAATTCCTAGGATTTTTCGAGAGCTGTTGCTGATATGTGATCGTGAGGCCGAACCCCCTTGAACAGCTGGCGGGCGGCGACCGTCATCGGAACTACCCTGGATCAAGAGATTTCCTTGAAGATTTCCTTGAAGGTGAAGGGGCACCCACCTCATCACTGTTGCGCTGGAACCTTAAATCCAACCCGGCAAGCCCAAACCTCAATCCGGACAATTCCTAAAATTCCGGGAATTTTCAGCTCCGGGTGATTCCCAAAATTCCCAGGGTTTTTAGACAAAAAGGGTTAAAATTCCCGGAATTTTCAAGATCCCCCTGCAAGGCCCTTACAAGCAGCCAAATGGACCGGAAGAGGAGGCGGGCATCCGACGGGGCGGCCGCAGAGCGAAAATAGGGGTCGAGCCCGTAGCCTTTTATGGGGATATTCATTATGTCAAATATTCGGATTTCGGATTGGGAGCTCAGATTTACAACGTAGATTCCATTTTACTTGTTGCAACGTATGCCCCATAGAGATTCATACAAAGGTTTATGAGAAATTTCTAGCCCCCCCCCATAAGATATGAAAGAGATTTACATTCTTCCCATTCGAGAGCCATAGAAAAGTCCAACGAAATCAAAAGATCCTTGTACTGCCGACGGACGACTATTCCAAATGAAGCAGCGCACGCAACAGAATGTTTCAGCTTTGTCTCGCAGCCGAACGGTCTGGAACCAATGAGGACGCGGAGTCTAGAACAAGCCCTGCTCCTGGCAGGCTCAGCGTGGTGGTTCAAGTGCAAGTTGCCACGCAAATCGTACAGCACATGTTGCTGGTGCAAGCTCCATGCTCTCCTTCTTCTTGTTGTCCCGCTTCCATTTTGGAAGCTTGGCAAAGGCCTCCTTGTCCATCCCAAACCTAGGCACAGAGCACTTGCAAGCAGCTGAAGCAGCTGGACATCTTGCACGCATGGTAAGTCGAAGTGCGCTGCGCAGCTCTGAAAGAAGAAGCCACCCTCTAAGTGCACCACAATGTCTGGAACACATCATCTCTCAGGTAGCGTTCCCGCTCCGTTGCCACGACGTTCTTTTCCTTTCGAGGTGGCTGGCATCTATCGGATCTTTTTTCTACGCCACGAAGGCTCTCGGCGATGCTACCTCTTGTCTGCTCCCTTGGCTCGGCCTTCCAGAAACTGGAGTCCTGCAGCTCTTGCAGGCCTCGGCAAAAGAACAGCTGACCTCGAAACCCTTCAAAAAAAACCACGAATTGAATCGAACGTGCCTCCAGCACTCAGGATGTGCGCATGGGTAGGCAATCTATGCTCACAAGCTCCGACACGAGAGCTTGTCAAGAGCACTCATCACCCTGAACCTGAAGCGTCAACCCCTAAAGCTCAAGCGCAGACTGGCTGGGTGCCGGGCTGAAAAACTCGGTCACAACCGCTGCACTTTGAGGCTGTGGCGGAGCCACGCCTGCAACCTTTGATTCGCTTGGGCTTGCGGATTCGGGGAGGTCGTGGATCCTTCTTGGGAGTTCACGGCTTCCAGGTGCGGCTTCTGGCTGCTGGACTGTACTTGGCTTGTTGCACACCACACGGTACCCTAAACCCTAACCCCTAAACCCTAAACCCTAAACCCTAAACCCTAAACCCGAAACCCTAAACCCTAAACCCCAAACCAAGAAAGAGGAGTTCACCGCAGGGGGGGGCCACCACGGATTGCCCGCGGACGAGAGGCAGCCGAAGGCTTGGCCCCGAAGACCGACTTCTCGTCCAGCTTCTCCTTCTCCTGAAACCTCGAAGGACAGGGAAGGGGTTTTTAGGGTTTGGGGTTTGGGGTTTAGGGTTTGGGGTTTAGGGTTTGGGGTTTGGGGTTTGGGGTTTAGGGTTTAGGGTTTAGGGTTTAGGGTAATTGGGGAACCCTTACATACGCCTTACATACCCTGTCAAACCCAAAGGGCCCATGCTTCAGAACCCTGAACCATCCTAAGCCGAGCGATGGCTCAGGCGAATGCTGAACAACTCGCCGAGACGCAATGGTGAGCTCTGCGAGTAACCACCTTGCAGCGACGGCGATGGAAAGGACGGAGTGAGCAGCTTGGAAGTGCACACCAATCCAGAAAAAGCCTCCAAGCGCAAGAAGACTGAACCACCAACACAACAAGGACCCGCCTTTAACCCGACTCTCTCTCTGCATACCAGGCACCTTCGCCTGTTGATGGGCTGGTGGGCTTGAGGGGCGACGGCGGACCAAAGCCCGGCAGGGCAATGCCACCTGCCACCGAAATCAGCCATTCGAAGAAAACGCAAGGTGTGGCTTATCCCCCAACCCCAAGACTGCCAGCTTCGAGCTATACGCCTACGCCCTAAACATTATTCCAAAAAAGCACAACAACCTTTAAACCCTAAGGCTCTAAAAAAATGAAAGCTCCTTTCAGAAACTGCAGCCTAAAATCCTGCAGCAAAAAAAGACCCAAAACACCCGAAACCCTGAAGCCCTCAATGCGTGCGGCTACACATTTTGGATCTGTTGACAGGCGCAGCAAATTTCAAAAATCTCACTGAGGTGGGGATTGGGAATACTCGATGCCCAGGGTTTGATAATGAGGGTCTGGCTTCAGGGTAGGTTTCTGGGCTTAGGGCAACCCTGCACTGATCCACGACCAGCATGAGGCACTCCCATAGTGTAATCTAAGATCGGACACGGCCCTTCCACATCCCTAAATGCCCCAAACTCTGAACCTGGACCCTAAGGGTCGGGGCTTAAGGCTTCGGGGTGCTTAGCCAAGTTAAGGCTGAGCCCACATGACTCACATAATTACCCCCCAACCCCCCCCCCCCCCCCAAAAAAAAAAAAAAACAAAAGAGACGAAAAAAGGCGCGCCTGCAGGAGGCCGCGGCCCTGCTGCCTTGGGTGCCGGTGCCGGCTCCTCGGGGGCAGCCGCACGGGGCGCCTGAGCTCCCGCGGGAAATTGCTGAGGGCTTCCAGGGCCTTCATATGGTTTGGGGAGTTGAAAACAACTCCGCACACATGAAAGGAACCCCCTACTCTCGGCCGTCTCGGCATGTACCGGCGGCCCCAGTCCAAGCCAGAACAAAACCCAAATGAGACCCCCACCCTCTCAGTACGCTGCCCCGCTGCCAAGGAATCAGAACTGGACTCTGGCCGGGGCACTCCAAGGTCGTCTTCTAAGTCATCATCGTCACCCGCTTCCTTGGCTGACTGATTTCGGCAGTCACTGCTGCAAGCTGCCATGATGGTGGTGGACAGCCATTTTGAAAATTGCATAAGGGTTTTCGTGCCGAAAAGACTGTCACTCAGTCGGCGTCTGGATGATTTCGTCGGGCTCATGGTGAGCTACCAGTTTGTGCTGCTGTTGGGGATCGCGTGCCGCCGCACGCTAGCCATCGTGTCTGCGGCTTGTATTGAAGGCACACGCGATGTCTCCGACAGGTCTATCAAACTCACGCCGCCAGGATATGTGAACATGAGTTTTGCGCTGGTTGCACCCACGCTGTCAGGCGTTCGGATATCTGGAGGCAACGCGTCATGCTGGCAATTTCCTTGTTTTCACATTGGTTCTGCACACTGCTACACCAAGTGTCAAAAAGTTCTTAAGGAAAAACTGCCCGTGCAGGAAGATGCGCCGGCAGCACAAATCGAGTTCCAAGTCGTGACGAGGCTGCCAAGCAACTGCCAGCGACAGCTCCATCTCGCCGATGAAGCTGCGCACGTTCTCCACGACAGAGGCCTCTGCATTCAACACACAAAAAGGCTGCCTGAGGGGATGTGCGCGATAAGATGGGCCAGTATCTGCTGTATCATAGGGCGACAGCGTCGAACAGGAAGTATGACCACAGGTCAAAGGAATCTTCGCTTCATCATGGCTGCACTTGTGACTTATGTTAGCATCTACAAAATGCCCTACGCTAGAAACTCGGAACTCCTAAATCCTACGCCCACGGCTGAAGTGCACATGACAGCTTAAAAGCAGGTGAACAATGCTAACCAATTATACAAGTTCGAATACCTTAGAGCATGGCCCATACTGACGCGCCGACACTGGCCTTGAATGTGGAGGTCTTCATCTTCTGCCTCACGGCCACTCCTGCGCCGTCCCAATGCCGATCCAGGCACAGACGAACCCAAAACTGCCCCAAAACCATCTGCAGTCTCCTTCCGGCAGCCAGGTGATGAAGACCAGCCTATTGCCTCCGACAACAATGGCCACGTGGGCCACTTCCCACATTGTTTTCACAAACCAAAAGGTGTGCCTGCACCAGGAGTGACCACGAAGCACGGCCTCACATTCGGCGCTCACTTCGCATGGGGCTCGGCAGTACGAGTGCAGGTGTCCCCCCCAGGCGCTCAGCATCGTAAGAGTCGATGTATCTGTAATGGTCGTCAGTCGTCGCAGTAGCGACCACCGTATGCAGCAGCAATAGCAACTGCAATTCCAACCGCAATTGCAATGGCAACCGCAATGGCAACGGCAATAGCAGCAGCAGTGGCAATGGTAGTGGCAGTAGCAGGAGTCGAAGAAGTGGTGTGGTAATTGCACTCGAGATTTGGGAAGAAGCTTTGGGGCACGGCTCGACTTGCACGGCGCAAGCAGAGCTGGGCCCCGCCACTCGGCTGGGAGCTTGCCCCGCAGCGCGGAGATCGAAGGCGCCTCGAGAAGTGGAGCCACAGGAGGCCAAGATTGTGGGGACGTTAACTTACCATCAGAGTTCGCAAGGATGACTGAAGTGGAGGTGTTGCGCAAGTTGTCGAACATCGGAGAACAGTGGGGTTTCTTGGTTGAATCATGGACGACGACACTAGTAGAAGTACTCATGAACACAAGCCCGGGTGAAGCAGCAGAGAACAACGCGAGTTCAGTGGTAACGGCTAAGAAAAAGGGTGTTTGACAGTTTCAGGGTTGAATCGCCATGGTTTCAGGAAATGACCACGTCCGACACAGCGACCGCCCCCAAATGTAGGCTCCGAATCGCGGGTAGTTTCTGACTTGCCAAGTGCTCCTAGAAACCCGACATCCCTACAACAGCCACGAAAAAAAAACCTAAACATCCTTGGAAACAGAAGAAGCTACAACCCTAGAGGCCCCTCCAAACCCGCTAAAGAGACCCCTGAAAAAGACCCCTGAAAAAGCCTCGAGGATTTCGGCTCCGAGCTCCTCGCTGTCCTTAAGAAAAGGGGGCACTACGATTGCGAGGCTGAGGCGTTGAGGCGTGGAGGGGTTGAGGGGTTGAGAGGTTGAGGAGGTTGAGGAGGTTGAGGCATTGAGACTGAGGTTGAAGGGGTTCAGAGCCGAAAGGTTCAGGGTGAGGACGAGGGTCAAAGTGGGGTCAAAGTGGATTTCTGGAGCAGCTGCGTCCTCGCAAACCCATCCATCCCTGCAGTGAGGCCTTGCTGCGCCCATCTAAGTACGAGCAGAGTCCCAAGCAAGAAGGATCACACCTGGGCAATCCTGGAACAACTCCTAAGCACAAAGCCTCGCATCCTCCGTCATGACATGGGCACTTGGCGCCCCAGCAAGCTTGGCGATGACCACCGACCTTAGGCGGAGCCCGAATTCTTCCAGAGGAGAAGGGGGCAGAGGGGAGATGGGGTAGCCGGGTGGCTTGGGGTTTGGGATTTGGCGTCGCGAAGGCAATACAGAGCTACTTACGCCCACAGCTGCAAAAACACCTCGGGCCATGAGTGAGCAACACACCCATGTATTTCAACGAAATGTGAACCACCCACTCACCCACCCATTCCCTCTTCGTTTTGCGCAATGGGCACCGACGACTCCTGTCTTCCAGCGCAAGGTGCATCGAATTGGCAGGAAGATCTACTACAGGCTCAGCAGAGCCAAGAGGCCGAAGCAATCTTGCACTGGCATCCCACTGCCTGCAACTAACAGTGCCTGGAAAGCATCAGCAGGTCGTCTCTGCGATTGGAGGTCTAGGAAGTCTAGTAGGGATCTGGAGTTTGTTCTAAGCAGGCTGAGATCGACTCAATGGCTGTGCCGTGCCAGACTAGACTGGGCGTTCGATGCCTGGCATGGCACTCGCGCACCACCTGGACAGTCTTCGCCCAGGCACCCACTCGGGAACGCAGGAGCGCGGAACGCTGAACCGGCAAAAGCCGCCAAATCTTTGACGTCCCAGCGATCTCGCGTGAGAGCAGGTCGCTCTGGGCTGTTGGTCACTTACTTCTTCGCGCCTTTCTTCTCGAAGCAGGAGCCTGGGCTGCCAACTGCACAAACAGAGCTGGGGATCTGGGGGCCCTCGAGGGCAGATGTCAACCTCGCCATCGTTCTGGCCCTTCCCTCATCATACTACCTCGGTATGTGCCTCTGCCTTTTTTTTGCCTGCCTTCCTCCCCCTCCCCCCCTCCGCATCCAAATTCGCAGACAAGATGCCTATGGTTGTGTTGGCAACCATCAGATGCTCTTTGCCCACCGCATAGATCGCCTGCGTTCACCCCTTGACAGCGCTAGACACTGAATCTCCTGCTTTAGATGAGACATGCTAGATAGCAGCAGTTCTGAAAGCCATTTGCAGCTGAGCAGGAGCTCGGAACAGCATGGCAGCATGTCCCGGAAGGATGTCTACACGACACAACTCAGCCGACTTCTTGATCAACTTCGTCACGACATGCCTCTATGTCTCGCCTTCCCTGCTAGCGAATTGAGAAGGACCTTTCAAGAGGCTTGCACTGCATGCGTCCTCTCCCTCTCCCTCTCCCCCCCCCCCGTCTCGAATCTCAAAGCAAGAGCCTGAGCTGGCTTGTGCTCAAGTATGAACTTGGAGCGAAGGCAATGCACCGGGTTGGTCGAGAAGTATGTGGCTGGGCAGCGCTGGGCCACAGTCCTTGGGCTCCAAAACTTGGTGCCTAAGCTATCCCTGCCAAAGTCGTCTATACTTTTTTTACGGCTGGGCCTTGATACGGAACTCCTCCTCTGCCCTCTTCCCCCAGAGGGTTGTATGCAGCTGCGATCAAGTCTCTCGTACTGCTGCGTGCTGTCTGCACCATCAGATTCCTCACCGAAAATGGACCAGATCACCTTGAGCATGACGAGGTGGATGATGGAGTGCAACACCTGGGCGCTGCGACTCAAGCAGGCATTGTTCGAACATACGCGACGGATCCCAACACATGCCCCATAAAGAGCTTGATGGGCCGAGGCACCATGGCTGCAACAATCCCCCACCACAGGAAAGGGCCTGCCGGCTATGGAGTCTCCATGATAGCAACACTAAACACACATGTTCAGCCACCATGCCTGCAACATTTTGGAGCTGATCTCGTAAGAAATTCCTTCTTCAAACCCAGAACTGCCCTCAAGGCAGAAGCCTTTCAGCAGCCCGGATCCAAGCTGGCGACCGCCGGACTCCTGCAGGGCTTCACGGTTGTTTGCTTGTGTTTCGCAGAAAAGTTCTGCTCGAGACGCAGCCTCAACGACAACCTTGCTGGGCTGGGAGGTAGGCATGCTTGAGGGCGCCTGCTTTCCCTTGTTTGGATGATTTGGAACTTTTTGGATTACTAGATGGCTCCTGGTTGGCCTTGAACACCAGTGCGCCGGCCAGTATGGCAACCTTGTGAGCCCACGGCAGGCATCCCACGAGAAAACCTCCCCAGGTAAGCCTGCCCCCTACACAGTTCCTAGACTCTGTCGGGAGCTGTGGATATGGCGACGCCATAACACGGACACTTGCACTCGGGACGCATTTTGCAATGTCATGCTTCCCTTTGAGCAACCATGCAACACGTAGGACGTACAGTCACAACTGTTGCTACGAACTGCAAGTATCTACAAGTGCTGACAGAACATGCCGCAGGCACCGGGATGATGAAGAGCTGCTGTGCCAGGTTGTGCACTGCCGGGCTCGACCATTTGTACTTGCACACGAAGCGCAAGACCTTCACCTGCAATCATCTTGAAACAATTCGTAGTTCAACGCTCCCTCAAGTTGACGAAGTGGTCATACCGGCCACGCGCATGGAGCCAAGGCGACTACGGCAGCTGAGGTACTCGGTCGTAGATGTAAAGGTAGATGTGCGAGACGATGAGGGCACCAAATGTCAACGCCATGTAGGCAGGAGACACGAAGGGGATGCAGGTCACCTGCACGAGGCGCTTGCTGTCGGCTGGGAAGCGACAGTATGCCACAGTTGATGTCATGCGCAGAGTCCCGGGCCAGGATCACATTGAAAATCAAATCGGCGTACCTGGCTGAAGATGCGCGCCACATCCTACTTGTTAGGAAAGCCATCTGTCCAGATCGACACTGTCGCAGAACAAGCTAATCCCGGAGCCTCACGGCGGGGCACAACAATACGCAACAAATGAGTTTACGTGCAACGCGTTGTCGTACAACTGCGCTCGACGTGCCTCATCTGCGGTTTCTACAACGGCGAAGAGTCATGCTATCTATCTACAGCACGGAGCCTATGGCCTGCGGTGTACCTTAACGTTGATGGGGATCGGTTTGCACCTCATAGCTACATATCGAAACATGATATCTCAGAGATGTCGAGCTGCCTCCAAACTATTTCATCCTACTGGGGATGGCACAGAAGCGCACGGGATTTTCGCAGCTTTTCGGAATTGAAGAGCTACAAGAAGTGGCACAAAGACTGCGGCCACTCAAAGCAAGATCGGCGCACCGGCCAGGCTCCATCTCCGACAGCTCGAAGGCCTCTCACTTTGAAGCTGCTGAAATGCCGCAGCAATCCCTCCCCCTCATGAAATACCCCCCCACCCCACTATAATAGCACTATAATGAGAGTATGTCGTCCTAGGGGGTGGGTGGAGGTTGGATATTTTTAGGGCAGGGGGAAGGTGGGGGGATGAAGCCTGCCAGACCCTCGAGGATAGCAGGGTCGGCTGACCTGCCTTCTCCGCGAGCTCCCCACGAATTCGAGGGTTCGCACCAACCAGAATCCTTCCAGGACCGCCATGGAAAGCTAATGACTGCGCTACTAGTAGGTCATTCTAGGCGTATCGGCGTTGGTCTTTGACACCCTTCAACAGCGCATGCTCCCACAGTCTGGAGTCCCCGGCAGAAATGCTGATGACACGGTAGCAGGTCGACATGGACTGCAAAACCTCCCAGATCCCCTCAACTACCACTGGCGGAAACACCCAGGCATCCTCGCAATGTGCCGAGGAAGGACTTGTGCAACGATGGGCTCAAACAGGAACGGCCTGAGACTTTCGAGCCTCTATGTTTAGAACTCATACACCAGATGCTGGGTTCAAGTTTTTCTGGGGCTTCTGAAGATGGAAGACCCAGCACAGTCGCAATACGAGGGCCCCGCCCCCTTTCGCATCCTGCTGGGAGCCCGGCACGAAAAAAGTGCACGGCCAGCAGTACTTGAAGAGAAGCTTCCCAAGGGACTTCTGCATGGGATAGGATTCGAAGATGTCCTGAAGGTTGAGGGGCAACATTCGTAAGCAAGAGGAACATGAACTACAAGGGCTACAGGATGGACAAGTCCACCCTGGTAAACATCCTGAAGCCCTACAGGCCCAAAGGATCCCTGAAACTTGAAATCGACAAGAAAGGCCCAAGAACAGCTCAGAGTTTTACAGGCCCCTAAAGGCTTCCGGAATTCGGGGCACCTTCCTGTGCTCGCAAATTTGAGGCCACCCTACTAGCCTACTGTATAAGGGTGTCCAGAGCAGTGGCCCCTTGCACACCCCTAAACTCTAAACCCTAAACCCTGAAACCTAAAACCCTCAACCCGAAGCCGTCTTATAACCCCCCCCCCCCAAAGGGCCGAAAAGGAAGCGCCTGGAAGTCGGTCATCGCACCCAGAAGCTGGCCGTCGGCCGTGTGGACGCCCACACCGACCATCTGAAGGTAGCTGAGGTAGGCCTGGAGCCTGGGCTTCGAAGGGCCTTGGGGTAAGGGGGTAAGGGGGTAAGGGGGTAAGGGGGTAAGGGGGTAAGGGGGTAAGGGGTAAGGGGGTAAGGGGGGAAGGGGAAGGGGGGAAGGGGGGAAGGGGGGAAGGGGTGACTGGTGACTGTTGAGGAGTTTGTTAGTTTTCTTCAGGGCTGCTGGGCCCTTTTGTGAAATTTGTGCTGGAGCCGGGGAGCGTGATGTCCAAGCCCAGATTCAGGACCAGCGCCGCATTGTAGAAGATGGTGTACGAGCGGTGGACCTGATTGGAGCGAATTTCCCAACGTTGCGGGGGGGTAGGGCAGGGGTTTACGACCATTGTGTCGGTTGCTTCACTCCAGGTGATGGTGTAGGTCCTACTCCGACCTCCACGCTCCCAGAACCATCCGGCCTCATCTTCCGAGTGGAAGCCCGCCATCTTCGAAGCGATGGAGCTGCAGACAAATAGCCCGATCTGGCTGAGGACCACCAGAGTGATGAAGATGCCTTCGGAGAACTCGCCTGCAAAAGGCGGCAACTTTTGGGGGGATTCCAGGGCATGGGGGAATAAATGGCTCTCCCTCTAATGGAGGATCCCACCTGGCTCATCTCCATTGGCGTAGGTGAAGGAGGCCATGTAGAAAGCGTATGGCAAGTACAGCAGCAGGGTCCACAGAAGGCAGGCTCCACTGACGAGCATCGTGCCCTGGAAGAGATTCCTTGCAGGCGTTCCACCCCTTCCGGCATCATACTTGCATAAAACATGAAACTTAAACGCCACGCGACGCAGTCCAGGCGAAAGTTTTTTGCGGCCCCTTTGCAGCCCAGAGTCGCCTTCTGCTGACCTGGCGTGACCGCCATGTTGGCCTCGGCTATGCACTGCACACCCCTTGCCTCGAGATGATGCCCACATGGCAGCCAGGCCACCCAAAGCAACTCCTCCGGCTCGACGTTCACCTTCACATGATTCGGCAGCTTGTTCGAATCTATTCGAGTCTCGACAGGACGGGCACCCGACCTTCGACAGTGTGCAAGTGCTGCTGTTGATAAGGAGGCCACTGCGCTTGACCTGTGGGGGAGAGCGGCGACAAAGACCCTCGAAAACACTTCTCACAAGGACGAACGCGCAACGAAAGGGATACGAGTCTCGCTTGAGCAGCCCTCCGTGTGCGACCCAGGCCACAGCGTCAACTGCCGCGCTCTTGGCCGCCTCCGTGGCAAAAACCACATATGCCACGGACGAGCTCTTCATGTCCAGCAGCATCCTGAGCTTCAGGGATACGGTTTGAAGCTGCAGTTCTCTTCTCACAAGGCCCTACTCAGCCTGTCACAAACCCTGCAGTGAACCGAGACCACTCCAAACCCCAACCCAGCAAAGCCCAAGCCTCAGAGCCTCAGAGCCTCAGAAGGCCTCGGAGCCTCAGAAGGCCTCGGAGCTTTGCTTTTTGTCAGAGCACTGCTTTGTGGCCTCATCGCTGGGTGCGTGGTGCGCGTGCTGAAGGTGCACGTGCCACCTCGGCCGCGGTCCGAAGGTCATGCCATGGTTCTGACGAGGCTTGAGGTGAAGAGGAGCAATAGTATAATGCAACGACCAGCATGTCTAAGCTCTTCCTGTATCTTTGCGAAAATAGGTACTCTTCAGCATCTGCAAACCCTGCTTTCGGAGTCAATAGCTGTTGGCGAAGGGCTGCGGTTCTGCCTCTGGTCTGGGCCCTGAGGGCTGCGGGTTTAGGCTGAACTGTTTGAGGGTTTCGGGGCGCGAAGCGAGGTTTGGGGGAGTTTAGGACCAGGGGCCGAATGGGGGTGTTTCGGGATCTTGGGGTGCTGCAACCCTAAGTCCTAACCCATAGAAGACCCCCAGATGCCTACCTCCCCACTCACCTCCCCCCGCCCCTCATCCTCCCATACGATGCCAGGGAACGCTTCGAGGATGGTCCGGGTGATCTTGTCGTTCAGGCCTTCGCCCTCGCCTTGACGTCCGAGGCTTTGTCTCCTAAGCCCTCAACTTCTCAAAGCCCTGCACCTCTTGTGAGTCCCTGAAGAAGCGTAGCGGGGGTGCAGGGTTTGATGACAGGAAAGAAGCCATGGAGAGCTCACTTGAGGGTTTGGGGGGGGCGAGAGCTTTGAGGGCCTTAGGGCTGGTATTTGTAAGGGTTGGGTACTGGGACTCTGGGGACGGGCGTTCCTCAAGCCTTCGCCTTCCGAGCCTCAAACCTCCAAAACCCCCCCCCAAACAACCTGACCTTCCTGCCTGGCGCTCCAGCTGCGCTGGCTTCAGAGGCCGGGGCGTCGAAGAGCCCCAGCTCCTTCTCCTCGGTCTCTTGGAGGCCCAATACACGGCTTCGTCTTCAGGGGCACTCCTTCTTGGCTGGTAAAGTGGGCCTGTTCCATGAGCGCTTCCGATGGCGAAAGTGTCCAGTGCGTGCTTTCCCTTGGCAACCTTTCTTGTTGTAGGGCTTTCGTCAAGTGGTCGTAGTCCATGGGTCATGCAGGGAAGTCTCTCAAAAAAGCAACCAACACGCATGCTGCAGCAACAGTTGCATATGTGCCTTATCTATGTTTACTTGTATGCGTATATGTACATCTATACACATAGATGTATGTATTTACTGAATTTATTTATTTAAGCGTGTATGACCATATATACATATATATATATATGCACTGATAAGACTTATCATATAAGTAAGAAGCGACAAGACGCCTTCCAAACATCAGAGGATGCACCTTGCTTGATTGAACCCCCGAACCCAAACAGAAAACCATCCTGAAGCCCTGTACCGGTACCCCCCCCCCCCCCCACGGACAAACAGGAGAAGTCAAGCTGCCAGCGCCTCGCCAACTCGGCCCTGTGGAAGTAGTGCTTTCGCAGGAGGCGTTTAGGGCTGGCTGGAAACCTACACAAGGCCTCACCAAGCTAAGTCCTGAATCACCAACAGATGCGTTAGATTGATCAACATTCTAAGTACTTGACCTGGCCTGTCAGGCTGTCAGGGCAGGCCACCCATCAGTCGCAGCAGGAGATCCAGAGAGAATCGAAGCACAACCATTCTGCCGATCCCGTCGGGCGAGCCTTGCAGTCCTTATAGTTCCAGGCCACCGAGACGCCCACAACCTCTACGCCGGTCGCCTCACGGACCTTTCGACGGGCAGCGCGCTTTGGTCTCCACCCGATAATGATACGCAGAATTATTCTTAATATTATTCTTGACATTATGTTTAGTACATTTTATTATAGTCATAATAATAAGCAATAATAAATACTAAAAAAATATAATAAATCATGAATACATAATGAATAATAAATATTAAGTAACAAGTAATAAATAATAAACAAGAAATAATAGATAAAAATACTAAATAACAAGTAATAAACAAATAATAAAGAATAAATAACAAATAACAAATCATAAATAATAAATAATGAATTATGAATAATGAATACTGAATAATGAATAATGAATAACTAATAAAAAAAATATTGATTAATTACTAATAACAACAATTACAATAATCATAAGAAGAAGAAGAAGAAGAGTAACAATAATAATAAGGAAGACTAACAAAAACGAATCCTCATCATAATCGTAATAAAAGAAGAAGAAGAGTGACAATAAGAAGATGAAGAAGAAGAACAATTCTTCTCATAATTATCATGAGGACTATTATTATTACTATTGTTATTATCATTATTATCATGAGGACTATTATTATTACTATTATTCTTATTATTATCATTATCAGTATGGTAATTACCATTACTACTATTTTTATGCCTCCCTGAAGCCTCTGAAAGCGCGCACAAACTTCCCTGAGCAATCTAGACTCACCCAGGGCCTTCTGCTTCAGCACCTCCTCCACCTTCTGATCTCCCGAGAAGGGAGGCAAACCATCGAGCCTCACAATGGGGGCTTCGGGTTCTTCGGTACCCCCAGAAGCCCAAACCGCACACCTATCCCAGCCAAGCAACTTGGCGGTGAAGTCTGCCATGCTGTCAGTGTCACTATCGACCTTAGGGAGGGCTGGGAGTGTGTGAGTCGAGTTGGGAATGCTAGCGTGTGCCAGTGCAGTCTTCGACCCTTAATCTGCCAGTTGAGAGCACTCTGCTACGTTTTCCTGCTGTCCCCCCTGCAGGCCGCGGGACATCTGTGTACAGCTTGGCGGAGAGGACAGCGTAGATGGCCTCATCGGCTACAGACGAGAAGCACAAGCAATAGTCAGATTGAAGCCCACATTGGTTCAAGTCCGAAACGCGGCGCCGCAACAGACTGTGGCAACCCTTGCTACACATGCTGCATATCCTTAAGATCAAGCCCAGAAAGTGTGCCCAAACAAACCCTGCCCGGCGGCCGCCCCAGCCACGGAGAAAATGTAAGCGAAGGCCAGCCAAGCCACCTAAGGGCTTGGGGTTTCGAAATGTTTCAAAGTTAAGAGCTGAATGTATCGGCCTCGAGAGCAAGGCAGCATGCGCCTGCCATGGCCCGAGATGGCTTACCCGACACCCCGAAGCTCTCGAAACCGCAAGCATCCCAAGCAAACCATCAAAATAATGTATTCAGAAAGCCCACCTTCGTCCACACGAGGTCCAGCTGCCTGCGGCGGGGGGGGGGGGGTAGGCAAGCTACGGAAGTGCCAGTTTGCCGCGCTTAAAGCGTTGCTCAGGACCTTGAACACTTACGGCCTTTACCTGGGATGGAGCGCTCAATCACATGGGAGGCAAGCGCAGGCTTGTGGGGCTGCGGGCCTCTCGCGACCCCACCTCACCACGGCACAGAGCACCTGCGGCGACTTGGCTTCGCGATTTCCTGGGGCTGCAGTCTGAAGAGTGACAGTGTCGAACGCCAGACTTCGCGGCTCACGGCTGACGCGACACGGCCTAACACGCCGGAAGCCTACGAAACGGGTTTCTTGAAAAGTTGCCAAGCTTCCGAGTATAAGGAGGTCTTGGCTGACCAGGAAACAGAAGCCCAGCCATACCGCCAGCAGGGTCAACGCCCAGAACAACCTTGGATGGCATGCTGCCCTTCAAAGGTTTCAAGGCCTCAAAGGCCAAACCTCTGTAGTGCACGCCATGTCCCAACCACCCGATCTTGATGCACCCGGCAGACGAGTCAAGTATTGCCTTCTGCTTGCCGCACGACTCAGGCTGACTAAGGCCGCAAAGGCCCTTTGCACCCAACCACCTGAATTCCTGAAGCCCTCTGCCAACCGGAGAGCAGGGCGAACTGGAAGCGGAAGAAGAGCATCCTGGGTGGAGCTACGGCTCAGAGTCTGGTTTGGTGGCATAGGGCGACTATCTACTCAACGACTAAAGGGGGCTAAGTATCCTTTTTCGGGCTGCGTGTTAGTTCCAGAGCCTCTTCATCCTCTCAGCCAACAGGGCCGAGCATCGTGCCCGCCCCGGCAATGTTCGTAGTGAGCAGGTTCGTGTTCATCGGGTAGGGCTCCGACTCTGTGCCTTTCTTTTGGCGCGTTTGGAGCACAAGAAGCTCAGGAGGCTTAGTATCTTTAGGCTTGTTCATGCAGTGTTCGGATCCTTGGGGCACGTTCACCGTCACAACGTGGCTTGATTTCGGCTTGGTTTGTGAAGGCTTGCTTGTCAAGCGAGGGTTTTTTTTCAAAAACATGGCTTGGTTGCTTTGACGTTGCCTGGCCAAAGTTCTCGGTCTTAAAAAGAAGATCCCAATTCTGTTGTTCACTGATCCCCGTCTGACTTGTGTCTTGATCCTTTCAGATGTTCTGTTGACCCGTGTCCCCTCCACAGTTCCTCCGGCCTGGCTGGTAGGGTTGGAGGATCATCGATCTCTCCTGGCCCTCGCAGCCCTCATCGATGCCAGCCTTTCAGAACAGACGGGTGTGGCCTTGGGTGTGGGTTTGGGGGGGCAAAAGGAGGCTCGAGAAGCTTCGGGCAACTTCGGGGATTGTTGGTGGGTCAGGAACCTGGTTGATGCAGGGGCGGAAGACGACGCTCAGGTACCAGAGCACCACAACCACAGCGACCACTGCACCTGAGGGCCAAGGTGCCAAAGGGGTTAGGCGAAGCCCGTGCGGTCTTTGCAGCTAAGCTCACGTTGATAACAAAGCAACAAGGTTGGGACGATTAGGATTCGAGATGATTCGAGGGCTGTCAGGTTGTGGGTCTTCGGACTTGGGTGCTGCAAATCTGGCCGCATCATGATGACCACCGCCTGAGCCCAGATCCTGGTGACCAAGCACCCTCCCTAAGCCCCAGGCCCACGGCCGCGATCGCGGCGAAGACGCCCTGTTCCGGTGCGGGTTTGGCTCAAAAAAAAGGGTATTGAGGGGTTTGAGGGGCCTCACCCTTCATCTCGCACTCGCCCTCCGCCGTGAGCGTGTAGCCCGGAAAGCCTCTGCTCAGATCTGCTCGGGCGGGGGGGCCGTTCAGGGCTGGGCGCGTATAGTTTGAATAGCTGCAGACTGTGGGTGCGGGATTCAAGGGTTCGGCTGTTGAGCTCCTTTTTGAGGTCTGATTTCTATTGCAGTTCTTGTGCTGCTCTTGCTGGCTTCTGAGGCATCAACACTGGACACAGCGCTCCAGGTCCTGCGAACAGAAGAAGGGCTCAGGTTCTCAGAGCCTTCAAATCTCCTCAATGCGCTCCCCATGCTCCCCATGCCCCCCCCCCCCCTCCCCCCGAAACCCGTCCTTGCCCGAAGCTCCAGGTGGCCCGGCTTTACAGGTCTTGCAGGCCTCTGCAGAACGCGCTGGCAAGAACCCCTTAAGCTGCGCAGGGCTCTCGGGAGGTTTAGGGGTCCTGGGGTTGCCTGGGTCAGGGGATGGTGTGTTGCGCGATACTTGCGGACGAAGCCCTCAAACTCTGCGGGAGATGTGCCTCCACTTGGCAATGGCGGCAGAGGTGCAGCTTCCTTGAACCACACAGGGCCGCTACATGACTTAAAGGATTTTGAGTTCGCGCTCACGCTGGTCTTTCGGGGCGATGCAAGCAGTAACTAGAACAATGACGAGGCCAGCGTCCTGCACAAGTCCCCTCCAATAAGGGCAGCTCAGCACTCGCTAACAAACCACCAGCACAAGCTGCGGTTCAAATGCCGGCTGGGGTCTCATCTGGAATACTGGCATTGCGCAGCGTGCCAGTGCTCGGGTCTCCGCACTGATTTTTCTGCACGCACCTGCTCCAGCGGGCTATGGGCTCTCGGCAAACAGTCAGAGCACCCCCGATACTCTGGCTCAGCGACCTATACATTGCTCACATCGCGTGCTTTGAACTGGCTCCGGGTGTTTATAATCGCTGGCTCCGCCCGGCCTGAAGTGGCAAAACTTGCTCTCCATCTCAGCAGCAAACGGGCATTGAGATGGGCAGAGGTCCTGTCCACGGCAACGGCTTTTCAAAGACTGGCTCGGAAAATTACTCCCACGAGGGTGCTTGGCTTCGGAGAGCTACACAGTACTACACTGCTTCAGTAAACCTAACTCAGCAACTGCGAAGTCTAGTTTTTCCCCTCAACCCTAAACCCTAGACCCTTAACTCACTTTGGGCTCCTTGCGCGCAAAGATGTTCTGCTCGCAGATGGAGGTGTCAGAGGATACAGCTGTCTCGGAAGGCTCGGCCGGCTCAGGGATGATGTTTCCTGCAGGGTTTAGGGTTTAATTAGGGCTTAGGGCTTAGGGCTTAGGGCTTAGGGCTTAGGGCTTAGGGCTTAGGGCTTAGGGCTACCACAGTGTACCCTTCCGAGCAAGCCAGACATGTTCACTGGTGTTCCTGGGCAGGGTCTGCACTGCCGGTTCTGGGGTGGAAAGGGGGTTCTGCAGCATACTGCACCTTGGACGTGTAACTGGGATATTCCCGGGAATTTGTCAGTTGTTCGATCTAGGGATCCCGGGCCCCACAAGTTGCCTCAAATCAGGGTCCTGAACCGAAAACCCTCTCAAACCACGTAAGCCTTCAAGCGCTTCAAGGTCTGGCCCCCCCTTCTTCTCTCAGGGTCAAGGGGCGGAAGATGCGGGGAGGCCGATCCACTTCCGCCAGCGACTCCACCTTCTGCCTCACTGGGGTTTGGATGGTTTGGACTCCAAGAATTCCGCGGGTGGTTTCAAGGCTACCAAGCACCTTTGTGAGAAAGAGCAGGGCTTGCTGAGGCTCCGATGCCTGGCTCTTCAAGACTTGAGGGTTTGAGCTGTCAAGGCCAAGGGGGGGCTCGAAGTCTTGATGCTTGGTGCCAAGCTGTTCGGGCACGCGCCCGTCAAACCATGCTCCAGCCCGACAGCACCCCAAGCGTAGGAACTTTGAGGAGTTAAGCAGCTCCGTGTGAACAGCAATTGGACATGGTGTTAGCAGCAGCGACGTGCTGATCGTTGTGAATTGCAGCAAACCGGGCCGGAATGGCTCAAGCATGAGATGCAAAATCGAAAAGTGTACTGCTGCCCGTGCGAGGGTTCTTTGTGAGGGCTTCAAGGGTTGGGTTGGGGTTTCCTGGCGTGGGTCGGTCCCTTTCGTGCCCCTCCCTGCTACTTCCCTTGGGGTTCCTGTAAGTTGGGAGCAGTGTTTAGTGTTCTTCTTTTGGTTTGGGGGTGGGGTTGCCACCGCGATGATCCACGCAGTGCATCTGCTTGTGGGGCGACGATCCCTAATGGACCTGGTGCACAGCACCAGAACTGTAGGCCAAGGTGCGTGGCGGATAGAGCTTGCTTCTGGATGAGACTCCGGTCCTTCAGATCGCTGAGGCTTTGGGAGCAAAGCTAGCGGACTTGAAGGACCTCTGCATCATCTCTTCCAACGGTCCTTGACTGCGCAAGTCTCATCCCGGCAGCTGCCCGCGATGGCCTGCAAAGGTCTGGCAAACAAAGGACGCACGAGAGCAACAGGAGCATTAAGTACCAAACATCAGCATCACAGACCTGAATGTCACGACAACAGCTGCTACACCTGCCTCCGAAGCAATGATGGCGAAAACAGCAGCTTGCACTCGAAAGCTCATGGTCCTGAGCCACCGGCAATGTTGTGCAGATGTCTCGGCAGCAAACCTCCAAGCCCGCTAGCTCTGCCTTTGTTTTCCCTCGAGCTCTTGTCGTGATGGTACGACGAAAGTAAAGTAACAGCTCAGTCACTGCAGGAACCGGCGCAGCCCGTGATAGGGCGTCCAGCTGGATCGAGAATATTTCGCAGCTTCGTGCCAAACCGCTCAGAGCTGCAAGATTCAGGGGTTCACGTATTGGTTTAGGGATGTTTTATGTCGGATGTATCAAGCCAAGTTCGCTTCAACAGGCCTGACCTGAGCCAGTACCTGGCGGGGCGAGTACCTCCAAAGGAGGGACGCAACGATCAGGGAGAGGAAGGCGAAGACCAAGGCTCCCAGTTGCGGCTCCAAATTTCGGTTCAGCAATGTCTGCCTAAGCAATAGGGCTTAGTCACTAAGGCTTAGAGCATGTCTGCGCAACGGGTCACGACAGGTCAGAAAGAGAACGAGACAACTAGAAGAGGGATGGCCCGAAAGCATCGATTTGCCGTGCGTTGACTCCATGCAGTTGACTCTTTGCAGCCGAAGTGTGTGCACTTGGACAAATGTATGCACTTACATGGTTGCATAGTCACTTGTACACTGCACTTGTCTGATTTGCGATGGTTTTGGAACCAGCGAATTCGGGGACCATGGTATACTTGCGATGCTTGGAACCAGCGAATTCGGGGACCATGGTTTTCGCGATGGTTTTTGGAACCAGCGAATTCGGGGACCATGGTTTTTGCGATGGTTTTGGAACCAGCGAATTCGGGGACCATGGTATTTGCGATGCTTTGGAAACAGCGAATTCGGGGACCATGGTATTTGCGATGGTTTTGGAACCACGATATTTACGAGGTTGTCGAGGCCCCGGAAGTCGAGTCCCATGATATTTGCGAGGTTTTCGAGGAATTCGAGTCCCACGATATTTGCGAGGTTTTGGAGGCCCCGGAATTCGAGTCCCACGACATTTGCAAGGGTTTCGAGGAATTCGAGTCCCGCGATATTTGCGATGGTTTTTTGCGACACGCAAGCTCCGGGTGTCCGCGGCGGGAATGCTATTTGCGAGGTTTTCAAGTATGTCCGGAATTCCGCTTCCATGCTATTTGCGGTGTTTTCAAGCGCCCAGATGTCCGTACCATGCTATTTGCAGTGTTTTCAAGCGCCCAGATGTCCGTTACCATGCTATTTGCGGCGATTTCATGCGCCCAGATGTCCGTTACCACGCTATTTGCGGCGTTTTCAAGCGCCCAGATGTCCGTTACCATGCTATTTGCAGTGTTTTCAAGCGCCCAGATGTCCGTTACCATGCTATTTGCGGCGATTTCATGCGCCCAGATGTCCGTTACCATGCTATTGGCGGTGTTTTCATTAAACTTGCAGTGTTTTCAAGCGCCCAGATGTCCGTTACCATGCTATTTGCGGCGTTTTCATGCGCCCAGATGTCCGTTACCATGCTATTTGCGGTGTTTTCAAGCGGCCAGATGTCCGTTACCATGCTATTTGCGGTGTTTTCAAGCGGCCAGATGTCCGTTACCGTGCTATTTGCGGTGTTTTCAAGCGGCCAGATGTCCGTTACCATGCTATTTGCGGTGTTTTCAGACGCCCAGGGCGTCCGCGGCGTACTATACGTCTGTACTACAAAAAGTCGACTTTCCAGCCACGGAAGCTCCGCGTGTGCGCGGCGTACTACGTGAGTACTACAAAAAGTCGACTTTCCAGCCACGGAAGCTCCGGGCGTCCCCGGCGTACTATACGTCTGTACTACAAAAGTCGACTTTCCAGCCACGGAAGCTCCGCGCGTGCGCGGCGTACTACGTTTGCGCTACAAAGGTCGACTTTCCAGCCACGAAGCTCCGGGCGTCCCCGGCGTACTATACGTCTGTACTACAAAAGTCGACATTCCAGCTACGGAAGCTCCGCGTGTCCGCGGCGTACTACGTTTGTACTACAAAAATCGACTTTCCAGCCACGGAAGCTCCGGGCGTCCCCTGCGTACTACATTTGTACTACAAAACTCGATTTTCCAGCCACGGAAGTCCACGGCGTACTACGTCTGTACTACACAAGTCGAAAAACAGATGCAAAAAACGCAAAAACACTACGGTTTTAGCACCGCGACCACGCGAAAACCCGCAGAGGGGTTACGTTTGCATGTCAAGAAACGCAAAAACACGACGGTTTTGGCACCGCGCCAACGCCGAAACCCGCAGAGGGGTTACGTTTGTATGTCACAAAACGCAAAAACACGACGGTTTTGGCACCGCGCCAACGCCGAAACCCGCAGAGGGTTGTCTGCGGCCACGGAAAAAAGTACCAAAAACGACGGTTTTAGCACCGCGACCCGGCGATTACCCGCAGAGGGTTGTCCGCGGACCTAAAGAAACGTAAAAAAACGACGGTTTTAGCACCGCGACCACGCCGAAACCCGCAGAGGGTTGTCCGCGGACACAAAGAAACGTAAAAAAACGACGGTTTTAGCACCGCGACCACGCCGAAACCCGCAGAGGGTTGTCCGCGCAAACAAGAAACGTAAAAAAACGACGGTTTTAGCACCGCGACCACGCCGAAACCCGCAGAGGGTTGCAATCCCGATTGGCGATGTCAACCCAGCCCGCCGCCTTAGAAAGAGTAATTTTAATTTAGAAATCTAGGACTGGGTACGAAGGTCTACTAAATTCTACGTAAATCTCGTAATTTCTATTACTTTATACTCACTCTATGCAATTCACTCTATGCAATTCACTCTATGCACTTCACTCTATGCACTTCACTCTATGCACTTCACTCTATGCACTTCACTCTATGCACTTCACTCTATGCACTTCACTCTATGCACTTCACTCTATGCACTTCACTCTATGCACTTCACTCTATGCACTTCACTCTATGCACTTCACTCTATGCACTTCACTCTATGCACTTCACTCTATGCACTTCAGTCTATGTTGTTGTGTCAGGGGGCTCCGCGCGGAAGAACCCTTCGCGATGCTTTCGGGAACTAGAAAAGTCGACTTTCCAGCCACGGAAGCTCCGGATGTCCCCGGCGTACTACGTTTGTACTACAAAAGTCGATTTTCCAGCCACGGAAGCTCTGCGTGTCCGCGGCGTACTACGTTTGTACTACAAAAGTCGACTTTCCAGCCACGGAAGCTCCGGGTGTACTGCACGTCTGTACTACAAAAAGTCGACTTTCCAGCCACGGAAGCTCCGCGTGTCCGCGGCGTACTGCGTTTGTACTACAAAAAGTCGACTTTCCAGCCACGGAAGCTCCGGGTGTCCCCGGCGCACTATACGTCTGTACTACAAAAGTCGACTTTCCAGCCACGGAAGCTCCGCGTGTCCGCGGCGTACTACGTTTGTACTACAAAAAGTCGACTTTCCAGCCACGGAAGCTCCGCGTGTCCGCGGCGTACTACGTTTGTACTACAAAAGTCGACTTTCCAGCCACGGAAGCTCCGGGTGTCCCCGGCGTACTATACGTCTGTACTACAAAAGTCGACTTTCCAGCCACGGAAGCTCCGCGTGTCCGCGGCGTACTACGTTTGTACTACCAAAGTCGACTTTCCAGCCACGGAAGCTCCGCGTGTCCGCGGCGTACTACGTTTGTACTACAAAAGTCGATTTTCCAGCCACGGAAGTCCCCGGCGTACTACGTCTGTACTACACAAGTCGACAAAAAAAACGCAAAACACTACGGTTTTCGCACCGCGACCACGCGAAAACCCGCAGAGGGGTTACGTTTGCATGTCAAGAAACGCAAAAACACGACGGTTTTGGCACCGCGCCAACGCCGAAACCCGCAGAGGGGTTACTTTTGTATGTCACAAAACGCAAAAACACGACGGTTTTGGCACCGCGCCAACGCCGAAACCCGCAGAGGGTTGTCTGCGGCCACGGAAAAAAGTACCAAAACCGACGGTTTTCGCACCGCGACCCGGCGATTACCCGCAGAGGGTTGTCCGCGGACCTAAAGAAACGTAAAAAAACGACGGTTTTAGCACCGCGACCACGCGGAAACCCGCAGAGGGTTGTCCGCGCAAATCAAGAAACGTAAAAACACGACGGTTTTAGCACCGCGACCACGCCGAAACCCGCAGAGGGTTGCAATCCCGATTGGCGATGTCAACCCAGCCCGCCACCTTAGAAAGATTAATTTTAATTTAGAAATCTAGGACTGGGTACGAATTCGGTCTACTAAATTCTACGTAAATCTCGTAATTTCTATTAACTTCTACTTCACTCTATGCAATTCACTCTATGCACTTCACTCTATGCACTTCACTCTATGCAATTCACACTATGCAATTCACTCTATGAACTTCACTCTATGCACTTCACTCTATGCACTTAACTCTATGCACTTCACTCTATGCACTTCACTCTATGCACTTCACTCTATGCACTTCACTCTATGTTGTTGGGTCAGAGGGCTCCGCACGGAAGAACCCTTCGCGATGCTTTCGGGAAAAACAACACTACACTCGCTCCAGATGCAAACATCACGAAAGCATGTCTGCATTACTGCGGCCAGGCAGCAGAGTGGTGAAAACGAGCGAAATCGGGACACACAAGGAAAACACCATCAGGGTCTTGAGCTGATCAGCGACAAAGCCCGAACAAGGATGCCGGGCCCGACAGGCAAGGAGCATTGCAAACCGGCAAATCGAGGGAAAGGCCCAGCAGGCGTAGGTCAAGTTGATTGTCGCCGTCACAGCAGCCCCCGACCAGTCGTCCGCACTCAGTCTGGCTGCGACCATATCCAGATGCGACCATTGAATAGGGCTGGTCACAAGAATCAGCCAAAGGTATGAAAACGAGCCGTTCCCGAGCTGATCAGAAAGAGCTCCCGACAGGTCGGATCTGACCGACGCTTCAAACTGCTCCACGGATCCAAACCATTTGCTTATGCAGAGTTGGATGATCTCACGGTCGCACATAACCACCTCTCCATCACTGTTCCTGTGGCCTGTCGTACAGCAGTGCGATAAGGCTTGCTCCAGACGGAAGCCCGCGAGCTGCTGCAGCAAAATCTCAACGGATGCATAGAAACGCCGCATCGACGAAATGGCGTAGTATGATCCCAGGAATGCACCCACGGCAAAAAGCACATATCCCAGCTCAAAGTCGTCGAAAGGGACGCAGAGGAAAGCCAGCGATGTCACAAAGCAACCGCCAAAAATGGAGACCGAGCAAGTCCCGAGGAGAGTTGGCCTGATGACCAAGTTCGCAGCCACGTCCTCTTTTCCATGGCTCTTAATGAAAGCTGCGAGCTCAAACCTTGACTGTTCTTGGCAAGCCGTGAATGACACTCCAAGATTCATGATACGTTTAGATGAAGATACGTACAGCATCAGAAAGCGCGCTAACGTCAAAACTTGACTTGCAACTACGGTCCAGAAACACGCACCAGAGGCGTCGTACCCACGTCTCGTCCCAGAAAACATGGAGGGACTGAGACTTCTTGAGAAATGCCCCTATGCTGAGGAGTGCTTCGGTCTTCAGTCGTGCATCGTCCTGATCAATACAGAGAACGTCAAGGAAGACCGAGGTCTTCCGTCTCCAGCATCTCAGGGTAAAGGTGGCAACCAAGGTCGCAGTGCACAACGACCAGGGCCCGAACGGGTACATCCTTGCTCCCGTCTGCAAGAAGGGTACACGCTCATAGCTCGGCAACATGCCTGTCGCAAAGAGAGCTGCCATCAGCAAAGCCCCAAGCCACCCGAAGCAAACTGCCATGGGCCCATTTTTTAGCATGAACATTGTGAGAACCTTGATCCAAACTCCTCCATGCCAAGAGTGGGACCAGAACTCCATGATCGTTGCGGTGGTGAAACTCGGATTCCTTCTCGGTCGGATCCCTCGCAGCGCCCCTCCAAGACTTCGCAGCACCTCGCAGCACGGCACGGCTCGCAGGATATTCGGCCGGGCCGCCTCGAAGTCGGAGATTCTGCTTACGAGCAGCTCCGTCAAGTTCACAATCTGCTGAGCTTCCTGAGCTGAGCTCTGCGCGCTCTGCGCGCTCCGCGAGCTCTGCGCGCTCTGCAAGCTCTGCGACGTCGGCGAGGGGCGCAAGTCCCATGTGTGGCGGCCCATGGAAGAAGGGATCGGGCCATCCGCCGGCTCCATTGCGAACCGGAAACAAGCAAGGAGGATATAAACTCTTAAAACACTGAAAGATACTGAAAGCATAGAACGGCTGCGGCGTTGCAACATCTTTCACCACTGAAGCTGCCAGTTGAGCTGCGTGACCCATGGCGATCCCGCTGTAAACGACCGCTCTCTGGGTCCCCGACGTGGTGTACGAAAAGACAACGGAAGGATAAGGTGGTAAGATTCGCTACTGGCAGGCTGAGCCGGGCCGCGAGTCACCGAATCATGACACTGCTTGTGGCTGGCACTGAGTTCTTCAACAGTTGGAAAAACCTTTTCAGGCGACTCCAAGGCACCCCTCCATCTTGTCGAGAAAGCTCTTCATGCAGTCTTCGAAAGACGGAAGTGTCCGCACCTCAAGCGAAGAAACACCACACTGGGGAACATAGTTGGTTGCAATGTTGCCAGGCGTTTGACAGCTTCTAATGCTGTAGAATGCAGCATTTACGAGATTGGTCTTCCGCAGCATTTCGCAGCTTCAGCTGCTTGTTGCGGCGTTTGAATCCTCCGAACACTGCACACTCCAGCACTGTCAGTCCTTTCTCGAAAACTGCGGTTCAGTATGGCCATATGCCTCACCTCAAACTCCAAGCGATAAACCTTTAAGTATTCAGGTTGCTTGCATGATCAGAACGCTTGCAAGTCGGCGGAGGCTACTCTGTTTGCAAGTGGGAGGAGAGGAGTAAGAAAACTCAAACACGCAGCAAATTGGACAATGTCTGGTGTGGTTCACAGAATTCGACGAAGTCATCAAAATGTCTGGCAATGTTGAAGTCGGTGGTGCCAAAACAAAGACTGCACCAAGAATACTCCACCCGATTATTTTAGCGAGAGACTAAGATCAGTGTTGAGAGTGTAGGCAAATACTGTTCGCGTTGAAGTCGCATCTTGCGACGTGTCCACCGCTGTGTCTCTCGAGTCAACAGTACTAGAGCTACACATACAGGTTTGGCTTGGCTGTCAGAGGATCTTTACCAAAAAGATCCGGCGTAGCTCAAAGCCACTCCCAAAGCCACCTTCCCCGGAAGCCGCAAAAACCTCGGGTTCAGGTCTCGGGGTTCAGGGGGGGTACCCTTTTCGGAGGGCAGCAGTGAAGCACGGATCTTCGTATCACCGGACCCCCACCCCCTCCTGGTGGCCTGCAGCGCCGCCAGGCCAGCAAGGAGCTTCGGGGCGGAGGCTTGCTCCTTGGCCACCTCAGACTTCAGCACAGCCAGGGTTTAAGGGGGGCTGCGTGTGTTTCGGGGAGCATGGGGCTTTGGAGCCAATGTTGCACCAGGTTTCTGGCTCCCAGGCCCGCAGGTGCCAGTACCGCAGCAGCATAGCCAGAACTCTGCCCAGAAACACCCCAAACCCCAAACCCTAAACCCTAGACCCTACTTTCCCCACCTGCTTTCTGACCTCCTCTTGGTCCAGCTCATCCTGAGCCGCATCACAAAGAGCCCGAAGCAGGAGAATGACACAAGTACGATGCACAAATCCACGACTGAAGAAGCGCACCAGGCTCAGGACCCAGCCCGTGTCATGGCTGCGTGCCGATCGTCTTCGGTGCGGTTCCGGGTGCTCTCAACATATTGCGCCAACGTAACCTGCAAGACTCCCGTGCAAGCAGGGACCCCCAAACCCACACTGGGCTGTAGGGTTGCAGGGCTGTCGGACTGCAGGACTGCAGGATTTGGGTGTGTCTTGGGACCTGAACCTCAAGGACTCCTGTGAGGCGAACGCTCTTCAAAGAAAACCGCAAACTTCAGACTCAGCAGGTGCACGTGGCGCCCTCCAAGCAGTGCAACGCCACTCTGATAGACGATAAGTATAGGTACACACGTTCCTTTACACGGTAGGCGACTAAAGATGCAGATGCACATATACATACCCACAGAAATACATGCATGGATACATAAATGCATGACAAAAACATGAATGATCATGTATACATAAATACATAAAATACATAAAGACACAAATACATAAAAATCTAGATAAACCCCAAACTCTCTGCAGCCCAGAACAGCAGGGGTCCTCTGAGCGTTCCGTCGCGTTGTACCTGACGGAGCACGGCTTGCAAGCTCGAAGGCGAGGGTTGCGGGGCTCACCATCTGGGATCCTTTAGCATTGGTGCGTGCTTGCCCAGATTGTCTACTACAGGCCCTAAGCCCCCAGAGCCCTACATCGAAAAAAGCATAGAGGCGCCGAAGATCGGCGACCGGACGATCCTTTTCAGAGAAGAAGGTTCCGGTGCTTTGGGGGGGGGGGGGTTGTAGGATTCTTGGGCCTTTTCCATGAACTCCCAGGTCACTCCCTGAAGTCGAGATGGGCAAACTCCTCGCGCAGGGTTCGCCGGGACGATGCGCCTTCCACACACCCCCCACTCTCTTGCACCCTGAACTTTATCCCCCCATACCGCCTTATTAGCCCGCGCAAGCACTCGTGCAGGGTGCATCAGGACACAAACAAATCCCTCGACCATCCGACCGGAACCCACACTCCACCCTATTTGCAGCCTTTTGGCTTGGTCAAGGAGAAGGCCAGGTTCAGACTTGAGGGAATGACAAGCTACGACCAGCTGCACTTTGAATGGCCAGGGTCTGGGCTCCCCGACACAGCATCCGAAGTTTCACTGGTGAGTCCTAGGCAGGATCCCTCGATCCCCATGAAACCTAGAGGCACTTCGGCTAGTTCCCAAGAAAATCCTGCTCTCGGGCTGTGTAGCACGACACAAAGCTGAGATCTCAGCAGCAGGAGTCCAAGCAATCATTGCCTGCATACTGCACATGAGGGTCAGAGAGAAGCGCGTTACCCACACCCTGTCCAAGGACAGAAGCAGCTCCCGACCCAGTCATTCGAAGCAGCGTCTGGCAGCACGCCCTCTAGGGCGACCAGAAACAAGCACCTCAGAATGGGGAGTAAGTAATTGGAGGATCTGCAGCGATCAGCTCAATGTAACAGTGCTTAATGACATGATAAGGGGCTCATATCACAGCAGTGAAGGACATGTCCCATCATGTCCCTGAGATGTCCTGCACTCATGATTTGGGGAAAGAACAGCGCTGCGAGCGAGCCCTGTGAATTCAATACTTGGCTTGATCAAGACACAGTGGAGAACCGGTGAGCATCAAAAGCATCAACGCCCCATCATAAGCATCATCCACACCAGCGCTTTCACGAGGTCTCGATGATGCTCGCCCCTATCTGAGTGAGCATCATGGATCACATTGCTTCAATTCAAGGGCAAGTATCAGCATCAGCAGGCAAGGAAACTTGCTCCGGCCACCCAAAACATCAACAAGCTCCGGACCTTCCGGCCTTGCCGCCTGGATGTAAGATCTAAGCAAGTAAACCTATGCTGTCATGCCATTGACACGTGTGCGCGCGAGCGCTCGCACGCAGCGCATCAATGTCACAACAGCTCCCGCTTGGAGACTCGGATGCTTGCCACTCGTCTCAATGTTTGAGCGCTTAGGGCCCACAAAGCCTAGTGAGGCTTGGTGACTGCGGCAGTTGCTTCTACAGCCCAAGGAGGACAAGACTGGAAGCTTGAAAACCTAAGCTCTTGAGCAATGATTTCAAGCCGAAGCCCCTAAGAGCCGGTTGCACCGGCATATCTTCGTTGTAAGGGGACGGGGCGGGCTGCGGCTGAGCAAATCACGTACACATGGTCCCTCAGCATGTTGAAACGACGCCAAAAACGATGCAATTGCGTGATGAGGGCGGCAACATCAGCAAGCCCCGGAAAGCCCAAACTTTAAAAACCCGACACAGCCTTGGGGTCCGACGGCTGCGAGTCGCTGAGCTCTGAAACCACAGCCTCTTGCGGGCATATGCTCCATAGAGCCCCAAAGGGTTTGGGATAGAGATTCAAAACTTGCAGAACCTCTACATACCCGTTGAGGATGAAGGCTTTGGATGAAGGGTTCAGCTTGCCTCGGGCTTCAGGGACGTCGGGGTAGGAGATGAGCACCCAGTTTCCAACCAAGCTTGCAACCACAAGAGCCTGGAGCCCGGCCCAATCCCCAAACCCAGAGGACTGCTGGCATCAGATCATTGATCGCCTGTTCGCAGCTGCTCGAAAGTGCATGCCGTGTGTTGTGCCATCAACAGGAACCGATTGCGTCAGTATTGGGCAGACTCGATTTTCCTTCTCTCGTTGAAACGGTCTATGCCTATGCTGTCAACTGGGTGCTTCACAAGGGAACGCCATTCGCACCAGCAGAAACAGGACCAAGAATCACATTAAGTCATTGAGCCTTTCGCTCGTTCACTCAGAGGCTTTGAAAAATACTCAATCTGCTGGCTCTGCTCTGCAGCGGACATCACAAAACTCTCTTAGAACACTTGAGAGCGTGGCCGTTGAGGCCGCCGCTCTGCCGCGACGCGACCGACACATTATTCCTCACAAGCCCTTGACGGCCATGACGCTGCGAGGGGCAAAGAGAGCTACCGTTGGTTGCAGCGACAAAGGTTCGGATCCGCGGCGGGAATGAAAAAGTTCATCGGAACGGAGTGCCTCGATCGAGAAGGGCAGTCTGGCCGTCCTTGCGCCATCAGCCCAAGGACAAACTAATTAAAATAAACGAGGCCTCCCATTGCATTTCATTTCTGCAACCCGGGCCGGAGAAAGACTGTTGAGGAATACTGAGGAATTTTGGAGAATATTGAGGATATTGGGGTCGAGGATGCTGGAAATTGAGGACTCTGACGGGTCACAGCAGCTGTGGCAACTTTGCCGTTGCATGGCTATCTTGATACCTTTCGGCATGCGATGACCCCATTGTGTCAGTCCCGCTACATGTTGTGTGCTCCTCATGCTACCAGTCAAACTACCACCAGTACACTGAATCAGCCTCTCCTCTCAGATATCCAAGCGCATGTCACGGGACTGGACTGGCAAACCTTGACGACTGTACACTTTGCCATACGCTGTGAGGGAGCTGCTTCCCATTGAAATGTCGAGGCCCCAGGGGGCCCACCATCAACCACCTGGGTTTTTGGCAGACGCACGGTGATAGAGATAGAGGGCTTAGGATGTTGAATCTCTTTGGCGGTGGGAGGGGTCTGTACGTAACCTTACTACACATCCTCACAAAGAAAAGCAGTAAATTAGCAAATAAGCAGGGTTCACAACGGGACCTGGGCACAATTTCCCGTCAAAGGGTGAGCCTGGCGCGCCGTTGCCACCTCAGAGGCAGGTATGAGGTAAGCTTCCGGCGCAGCATGAAGGGTCTCCAGGGGGCGTTCGGAACACCTCTATGAGTCACGGGGCTCATGGATGGCCACCGTCTACTTTGAAATCAAGGGGGCCGATGTGTACTGCATGCCGCGGAGAATAACCGGAACAGCTTCCAGCTTTATCTAAAAACCCTGTTAAGCTAAAGTCTGCAGCCTCAATCCTTATACCCAAGCACCCCTGGAGACAAACCTCTTCCACTGGAGACAAACCTCTTCTACCCCCCACATTTGGCCACCTCGACTCCAGCACTCCGATGCCGGGGAACACGGCCTTTGGCTTCGGGGCTCTGACGACGGTGGCTGGGAGCTAAGCACGTGGGGAGGTTCTGGATTCAGGGTTGAGGCTTCGAGGCTCCAAAGACGGTCTCAAATAGTACTGGTACCAAGCACCTGCCAAGAGGTTGATGGCGAAGTTGCTGCCAGATGCCAAAACCTGAGGGGCTGCAAGTTGGGGTTTGTTGAAATTTGGGCTGCAGGGAGCTTACTTTGCCTTACTGCTTCCGCCGGTCAGAGGATTCAGGCACATTTCGAGTACTGAAGGGCCGGATGCCCCCACCTGGAGCTCATCATGCACGCGCTCTGGCGACGTGTCAAACCTCCTCAGCAGGTCCTCGGCGGTCTTCTTGATCTTGTGGCGGAGTGACTTGCGCGGACGATGTGGAACCCTGTTCGCTCCGATCTCGTGCACGTGACAATACCGACAAGCATCACCCCTGGGACATCCAAGTTGACTGTGGCGGAAGAGGCATGGGGTGCATGAGCCATCGCAGTTCTTCCCCTCCTCCACGTATTCCACGCAAACTTGCATGGATCCTATCATCTCCTCGCGCGTCTCTATGAGCTGCTGAGTTTGTATCGCATTCGTCGGACAGCTTTGTGTGCAAGGAGGGTTTTGGAGCTCTCCAAGGTCTGCCTGCACGAGGCGGTTTGCTGCACGTATGGCCTCGGTAGAAGAGTCGGACTCTTCCCCGGAGTCGTAGCTTTCCGGTGCCTGGGACATCATCTTAAGCACCAAAAGCCCTGTCTACACCTGTCAGGCGAAAAACTGCTGCGGACAGAGACAGCTCTTGGCCAGAAACGCTGAGGGCCTCAAGATAGCCGAGTTTATGTGCTGATGCCTTCTGCTGCTTCCAGCCCTGCAATGCCCTGCACCTTGGTGGGTGGGGGGGGACTTCGGAGACTTCGAAGACTTCGGAAACTTCGTAAAGGGGGGGACGTCGGGGGGGGGGGGGGGGACTTCCGGGGGGGCTGGCAATCCCGTGGGCCTCGAAGACTGCCTCCGGCTGCCTGTCATCCTTGGGCACGGTTGCCTCAGAGATACCCTAGCAAATGTGCAGGCCAGTGTGGGTCATTTGAGGGTGTGGGTAGGAGGTAGGGCTTGCACTCGCTTGCAGCTGCAATGAGCTGGGTCTCAGCACTTGCGACACATCAATTTCTGGCGGGTGCCCGGACGGCAGTCCTTCGCTAGGCGAAGTGTCCACAGATGAAACAATCGACGGAGGGAGGGCTTTGTCACCTCTTCTACGATACGCCTTGCTCGTTCGAGCTGCGTCGCTTCTCAGGCATCGGGCCGTCGCCGTGGCCCGCGACTTCTGTAGTTTCAGGCTTCAGACAAGGTCCTGGAATGCGTCAGCTTACGCAAGATTGCTGCTTCATGCTTCATGCTGAGTGAAAACACTGCGACATGAGTGCATTCAGAGAGGCCTGCAGGAATGCTTGCGCCGAGACTCTTCCCTTACTGGCGCCACTTTCTCGTCCCCTTTCCTTTGGCATGCCCTTTGCCTCCTTTCCCTCGCCCCTTCCCTTGCAGGCCATGTGGAGGGCGGGGAAGCAGCGTGGGAAGGGGCTCCTGGGACGAGGTCGCGACATCTGTGATATCCCACTTTGGGGGCTCCTCCGACAGGTCTGCCCAGCGGGGCTTCTGTGTGTTTTGCTCCTTGTAGGATGCTGGATGTGCCGTGGGCGGTGCTTCGGGTGCCTGCAAAGGCGCTTGCGTGGGAGGGAGTGGTGGTGGGAAGTGCGCTGGCGGTGGTGGCGGAGGTATTGGCATCGCTGCTTGGGGAGCGGGAGTCCATGCAGGAGTTGCCGGCTGGTATTGAGGGCATGGCATGTGAAAGAACATTTGTGGAGGCACGGGTTCATATGGTGCCTGGTTCAAAGGTATCCAAGCGGTTGCCGGGGCAGGCTGGTAGCACAGCCCCTGCCCAACGGCATAGCTCATGATGGGTGGGGGCGCTGGGGAAGCTGGTGCCCAGCACCACTGCTGGAGTGGCCACTGCTGGAACTGCTGGAGTGGCCCAGGGGGCCAAGGGGCCATGGGGTGGGCAGTCTTGGCCCAGTGATCCGCTGGAGGCGCGAGGCCTCCGCGATAGTCGAGCCCATACACAGCCTGCTCACCTACAAACGCAGGCGGCAGCTGAACGATGGTTGTGGCCATGACTAAATAAATGGTCAAGCACGTCACGAGCTGTTGGATGTCTTGAGCCACAGCTCGACACGGGACAGTCACGGCAGCAGTCGAACCTGTACGTAGGCTGCTCAAAGTGACACCTGCTACAAGTACGGGTATTCGTGCAAAGGGTTCAAGACAAGTGGGGGAGGCATCCTGAAAAATTCTGACACCTAACCCTGAACTGTCAACCCCCATCCATGGTGAGATCTGATAAAGACGATGGCACGTAATCACTCCAGCTACACCCGAGCTCTCGGCCGCAAGCGTCAGGCGCTCGGCTGCCAGGTCCACATTGACCTGCATCTAAGTACAGCCAGCCCGAAGCTTCCGGAAGGTTCCTGAAGATGACTTCGTCACGTCACTTCAGATACGGGAGGAACCTTGCGCAGGTTCTGCGGCATTTGCAGGGAGCCCTGAACGCCTGAAATCTGTGCTTGAGGTTTCCAGTCCCAATCTGCTCTTGTCAGGCTTGGAGCTACAGCATAACGAGTGGCTTCAGTATCAAGATTACGAGCGCATTTGTTGTACTACCTTCATGAGCTGGGGAGTTCAATGGATTTATAAAGAATGAAATGACGCGCGAAATCCTGCAAATGAACGTAGAAACAAAGTACGTGTAATGCCGCTGCACGAACAGAGTATATGAAAGTGCCGGGCGGGTGTCATTAAGAATCGACGCCCCTCTTCTCCTAAAAAAAGGAGAGTCTCTTACCCCGTGTATACTACTAACAAAAGTCAGTGCCTACTCCCGCCGGTTTTCGGCACAACATGTCAATAGTAGGGTTTGATTCACACATGTTCACATCCAACTCAAGTTCCGCAGGTGAGTGTCCCAGAAGCCATCTTTCATGATCTTCTCGCCGCCGGCGAAAAGTGCGGAAACGTTGCTACAAGAGGTGGCAAGCACTCCTGCAACTCGCAGGAAAACAGGCAACATGAGTACGACTGTTTAGAAACCAACAAAACCCTAAACCCAAAGCCAAAACAAAAAAAACAACTTCGAACATCCCCAGTCTAGACCTCAGCATTTGACGGCACTGTAAGGATCATCTGGGACACTCCAGGGAAGTCTCTGCGGTATACGATGTGGGGACTTCTTAGGGTGGGGCACTGCATGAGTCCCCTCGGTATTCATGGACCTGCACGGATGACTGGAAATGTGTGATGTTTCTTGTGCTTCCTCCTTGGGAAGGAAGGCACGATTATTGAACACGTACCATCGTATAAACCTTAACTGGCTCCGAAGATTCAAGCCATTGACGTTGAGACAATTTGATATTCTGAACTGTCAGGACCCTGCCCTTTCTGAAAGATCGCAACCCCAAACGGATAGAGCATCGAAGGGCCTCACTCTACCTACTCCCCGAAAAACCCGACTAAGCTTACACCCTCGGAGCGGAAACATGCAGAAACCCTCCCCGTCGCCTGGACGCCGCGCGGGGTTTCCTCGGTCTCCGTGCCTCCACCGATTCTTCTAGGGCTTAGGTTTTGGGATGTTCTTCAAGGACCCGAACTTTGAGATTCAGGAGCTGACGCCCCTGGCCTAAAGCAGCTTTGAGCTCGGCGTCGATGGCCAGATTCGCGTTGGTCCCCCCCAAGGCCATGGCGTTCAAATGTCCGAGGACTGGAACTTGAGTTGCGTGTCCGAGTCTGGGGATGATGCTAGCTATGCGTATGACAAAGTCGGCGTAACTGCCTTTTCTCTCCACGAGTCTTCCCTCCTGAGTAGCCATCTGCAAACCGCGATACGCTTGGCTTTTGCTTGGCGAACATGGCGCAGAGGCCTCTTCTGCTGGCTGCGGGTGGAAACTCCAACACAGGGCATTCAATCTCGCTTCCGACATGCGTACAACATTCTCGGTGTCACCACGTACTTCTGTTTCTGAGCTCGTGTCTTCATGTCCTGCTTTCGTTTGAGGGTAGCGATGCCATCAAGCGAAATGATAAGTAAGGAGGGTGACGATGGAAATTCACAAACTTGGTTAACCAAGCAGCACAAATTGCCTGCCATGATTCGAGACCGGACGAAATCTGGCACCTAAGGACGTGAATCAGTTTCTAATGTCAATCCACGGCTCTGGAACTAGCTTGTTGGTACTGTCCCGTTCATCCAAAACCTGGGCTCGTTCACTATTCATGCGTCGTTCACCTATTCACTCCTTATAATACAATTAATATGCTCTCTAGTTTCGTTCATACATTATTAGTGCGTTTCATGCATCACTACGCTCTTTATAAACGCCCTCATAATGTACTCTCTTCACTTCATGACTTCTATCTCTAGTTCTTGGTAACCCTTGCCTTTTGGTCTTGTTCCCCCAAAAGCCCCACTTAAAAGTACTATTTCGTGCTTTCTCTTCGTTTCATTACCAATATTAATATCCGCCGACCCGAGCTTTGAGCAGGGGAGGCGCTAGTGAAGACCCATAGTCTTGCCCCCCCCCCCGCCCCCCCCGCCCCCCCCGCCCCCCCAGCCCCCCCCCGCTCCCCTCGCCCTTCCCACCCCACTCCTGCCCACCCCTCCCGCTGCCTTGCTGTTAGAATGGAGTGTTTTCAAGGGCTCCAGTGCATGCCCGAACCCTCCCTTTGCTGCCCCCGCCCCCCCCGCCCCCCCCGCTGCCCCCGCTCCCCCCCGCCCTTCCCACCCCCGCCGACCCCCTCCACTGCCTTGCTGTCAAACTGGCGTGTTTTAAGGGCTCCAGTGCATGCCCCACTCCTGCCCACCCCTCCCGCTGCCTTGCTGTTAGAATGGAGTGTTTTAAGGGCTCCAGTGCATGCTCGAGCCCTCCCTTCGCTGCCCCCCCCCCCCCCCCCCCCCCCCCCCCCCCCCCCCCCCCCCCCCCCCCCCCCCCCCCCCGCCGACCCCCTCCGCTGCCTTGCTGTCAGACTGGCGTGTTTTAAGGGGTTTAGTGCATGCCCCACTCCTGCCCACCCCTCCCGCTGCCTTGCTGTTAGAATGGAGTGTTTTTAAGGGCTCCAGTGCATGCCCGAGCCCTCCCTTCGCTGCCCCCGCCCCCCCCGCTCCCCCCGCTCCCCCCGCTCCCCTCGCCCTTCCCACCCCTGCTGTTAGAATGGAGTGTTTTCAAGGGCTCCAGTGCATGCCCGAACCCTCCCTTCGCTGCCCCCGCCCCCCCGCCCCGCCCGCTGCCCCCGCTCCCCCCGCCCTTCCCACCCCCGCCGACCCCCTCCACTGCCTTGCTGTCAAACTGGCGTGTGTAAAGGGCTCCAGTGCATGCCCCACTCCTGCCCACCCCTCCCGCTGCCTTGCGTTTTAAGGGCTCCAGTGCATGCCCGAGCCCTCCCTTCGCTGCCCCCGCCCCCCCCGCCCCCCCCGCTCCCCCCGCCCCCCCGCCCCCGCCGACCCCCTCCGCTGCCTTGCTGTCAGATTGGCGTGTTTTAAGGGGTTTAGTGCATGCCCCACTCCTGCCCACCCCTCCCGCTGCCTTGCTGTTAGAATGGAGTGTTTTTAAGGGCTCCAGTGCATGCCCGAGCCCTCCCTTCCCCGCCCCCCCCGCCCCCCCCGCTCCCCC